CTACTTGTGAGAAGGAACGTAGGACAGGAAATGGGTGTGTCCTGAAGAGCTGCCTCTGAGGTGGAAAGGGGAGGAATAAAGTGAATAATCTCATTGAGCTCTTTGCAGACCAAAGATGGAGGCAAGGAGGGGAAAGTGTGTGAGTCTCTCTCTCTCTCTCTCTCTCTCTCTCTCGCTCTCTCTCTCTCTGTGTGTGTGTGTGTGTGTGTGTGTCAGTTCCTTCCCTTCCTTCTAAGGCCTTAGGCAACTGACTAAGGAAGTCTAGACAGAGAGACTGCAGTGAGGGTGCACAGGACTTCCTTTGGATGGTTTTGAACAGCAGGAAAATTGAGATGCATGAAGAGCCAATGATCAATTAGCTTTCCCACCCCTAAAATCTCACTCACTGTATATATAGTATAAGGCTTGTCCACACTGGAATTAGGATTAGAATTTGCCTGTGTCCCCATTTGTGTAGTGTCATCCACATGACACCAGTCTCCCAATCTCTCTGTTTCTTTTACCTGTAAATTCGGGTCTCTCCACCCCACCCACCCCACAATTTGCAGATACAGTGGTACCTTGGGTTACATACGCTTCAGGTTACATACACTTCAGGTTACAGACTCCACTAACCCTGAAATAGTACCTCGGGTTAAGAACTTTGCTTCAGGATGAGAACAGAAATCGTGCTCCAGCAGCGCGGGGGCAGCGGGAGGCCCCATTAGCTAAAGTGGTGCTTCAGGTTAAGAACAGTTTCAGGTTAAGAACGGACCTCCGGAACAAATTAAGTACTTAACCCGAGGTACCACTGTAATCTGAAAAGGGGGTGGGGCTGCACATTCAAATCACATCCGTGTGGCCAGTGGGCATGTTGCAGCATTATTTTTACTCTCTGGGAAAAGCCACTGCCTGGATGGGTTGTAAGTAAGAAGGCAAGCAGGTGGGGAGCTGCCTGAAAGTAGACTGCAGTTGGTGAGGCAGGTTCCCATTTGCCCAAGAGGGCCATCCATTGGTTGTAGGCCAGTCTGCTTGCTGTTGCTGAGAACTTAAAAGCATAACAGGACTGGAAAGAACTAGCATGTGTGCTTTGTGCAAATTTGGTTTCAGGCACTTCAGGGACTCAAGGTGCTCCTGCGAACATTGTTGGCTTTAATATTGTCATTTCCTTTCTAGCTCCTGGTCCAATATTTTAGCCGTTCGGGGGTTTTTTTGTTTTTGTTTTTGTTTTTGTTTTGTTTTTTTCAGCTAGCCCTCTATAGCCATATAACATCCCTGAAGACATTTTGCGGGGGGGGGGGGGTATGTAGCAGGCTATCATTCTTTTCTTTTTCTAATCCCTTCACAAATTTGTTGAAGCTATTCAAATTTCCAAATGATTTCCAGTTTGTTCTGGGATATCAGCCCACTTCTGATTTAGGGTGAAGGCAAGAAACGTTTTCAAAGCAGGGACGCTCTTTGGAAATAACCTTGTTGTGTATAGTATAAATGTGTTCTTCTTTCACACACACACACACACACACACACACATATTTTAATCAATTCTGCATGTTGATTCCATTTGAATTGCAGAAAGTCCCTGTGGAAGGCCCTGATATGCAATTTTGCAATTATTTTCTAAAATTCGCTTTTTCTCAGTAAGTGAAGGATAAATGTACATGCGCTGCTTGATTATTCCCTGTCCTGTTTAAAGTCGAATAATCCACTTGATGCATATTGGAGAGGGGATGGGAGCAAGAACAATGACTAGACTTGCTGGTTTGCCTGCCTGTCTTAAGAGCTGTGACGCTGAACTGATAGTGGCAGTGAAGAACCCACCAAGACTGCGCCTCAAACACTGTCTATCTTCACCCTTAAAGCAGGGTTGCATTCCCGCCCCCCCCATAGCTGTTAATTGAGTTGAATCTCTCAGTATGTTGACCTAGTCACCATGAAAGCCCCATGATGGTCAGAAAAGTTATGAATCCTTTTGGTGGACAGGATGTTCAGATAGACGTAAGCAACTGAAGATTTAGACCTGGACCCCAGCACACTAATTGCCAGGCAAACTATGACAAAAAAAGGACATGACAACGGATTTGGTTGGCATGCATACTTATGGTAAGGGAAAGGGAAGATTCATAGAAGCTTTTACAACCATATAATCAGGAAATCATTAATGAGAGTATGGGAGAGATACAAAGACTTATTGGAACAAAAGACTCTGTGGTGGCTTTCACCACATGAAGCATTACTGCTCAAACCACTTGGAAAGAAAGGAAAATGGCTCACATATGTTGATTTATTAAAGGACCATGATGGAAAATGGAAATTAAGAGATTGTGATGAGATCAAAGACCACTTTCAGAGTTGGTTGCATAATTGACAACTACATGAAACATATAAAGAAGACTGTAAGAAAGGATTTAGTTATACTAGATCTAGGTTTCAAACGGAAGTGATTGAAGGAAAAGTGAAACTACTGAAGGCCGCATATAGCATACTATTAGAATGGGAGACGAAAGATGAAGAGGTAAAATCAGTTATGATTAAATGGGCACAAGATGTAGGTCACAACATTGTGATGGAAGATTGGGTTAAATTATGGAAAACTGACTTAAAATTTACAGATTGTTCCCTATTGAAGGAGAATTACATGAAGATGATGTACAGATGGTACACAACACCAGTGCAGTTAGGGAAAATGTACAAAACTAGTTCAAATAGATGTTGGAAGTGTAAGGAAAAGGAGGGAACATTTTATCATATGTGGTGGGATTGTAAAGTAATTAAAAAATTTTGGGAAATGATATACAATGAATTGAAGAAAATGTTCCATTTAACATTTGTTAAAAAACCCGAGGCATTTTTGTTGGGGATTGTAGGGAAAGACCTGCCAAAAAAGTTGAAAAACATCTTCATGTATGCGACAACGGCCGCGAGAGTTCTGGTAGCACAAGGATGGAAGACTGAAGAAACTCCGACTAAAGAATCATGGCAAGAAAAATTGATGGACTATGCAGAACTGGCAAAACTGACACATAAACTATGAAATAAGGATAACTGCGACTTTAAGGATGAATGGGAACCTTTCACAAAGTATTTGAAGATGCAACAAAGCGAACTGGACTCCTTGGCAGGTTTTGAATAAACATTCACAATTTTTTTACTGATAATAATAAGATGAACAGTTGGAGGATCTATACAACTCTGCAACATGCAGAAGCTAGTATTATTGGAGAAACCAAAGACTGGAACTGAGGGAAGTCAGGGGGTGGGGTGGGGGGATGGGTTTTATGGAGGGAGGAAAAATGGGGGGGGGAAATAAGGATATGTTTTTGGAAAATATGTTTTGTTATAATTTTGAATATATATATATATTTTTTAAAAAGCTATTTTCAGAAGGTTTTACCAACGCAGATAAAGAGGAAGCTCCAGACCCATATGTGACATCTGTAAGCGGTTACACATCAGTAAGCCTGGGACAGCTGTAGGCTCAAGTGTAGGCGGGTGGTTGAGCTGGCTCCAGAAACAGCAGCAACGAGCGAGTCACTATGTCCAATTATAAGGCTCAAAACTGCCCTAAGCATTTACAAAACAAATTTAAACAGGTGGACTTCTTCCAATTTTTCATTTCCCGGTTTAAGAAAACCCCACTTTCCAAGCTTGGACTACTTTCAGACTTCTGAAAGCGCACAGAGATGTGACTACGTCCCTGTTTAACCATGACAAACCCACTTTCCAGCCTCTTTCTTAGAAGCTAGGAAGACCTTCTTGATTGCCAAGATCAGCACAAGCTGTAGGCAGCCAAAGCATCTTTTCCTCTGTATTTCATGGAAATATATCCAGTCATAAGAACATAAGAAAAGCCCTGCTGGATCAGGCCAAGGGTCCAGCATCCTATTCTCACGGTGGTCCACCAGATGCCCGTGGGAAGCATAGCAAGCATGTTGTACATATTCTTATTTCACTTATGGGTGAGTATTGCTTAGGGTAAAGGGAAGGAAGGAATGTGCAAGTGCCCCCTGTCTCCATCTCTATTTACATAAAGTAGGGGGGGGGAAAGTCCAGATACTCTCAGATTTGTCCTGTACAGCTGCCCCCGCTAAGTGCACGATACTGATATGCCACACATTCCTGTGATAGCCTTCTTGATTTTTAATATCTCTACTTTGTGGTTTTAATTAGGTTGTTGGCCACATCAGTTGCACACCGCCTCCACACAAATTGACTTACAACTTTTCTTTCTAAACGTCTTCCGCATCATGTTGATCTGCACATTTATCATTTCCTTTAAAATCCGCACCCCCACCCATGCACGCACACAGGACAAGCTGATGCCTACAGCACAGATTTCTTAATTTACTTCTTTAACGTAGACTTGGCCAGCAGTTTGGCCAACTTGCTGAGAGGCCTTCCTTCTGGACAGAGTGCTTCAGTTGCTGCCGAGACAAAGGTGAGCTCAAATCACAGAGGTTGAACGTTGGCCAAAGAAGCTGGCTACTGGCAATCACTCCTGGTGAACTTCGTCTTGCCTGCACAAAGAAGATTATCTGGGAACACGGCCGGAGAATGAAGCTGTTTCTCCCTTGTCATTTTGCATCTGTGCATCGGTTGTAGTGCTGAGTCTCCGAAGCTGTCTGAAGTGATCTGTGCATGCATTGCCATGCCAAGAACAACAGCAAGGGAACCTAAGAAGGCAGGCATAGTGGGAGTTTCTGATCTTATAGTTAATTTTAACTGATTCTGTTATGTATGATGTATAGCATTGTACGGAGAAACTACAACACTAAGTTGGATATGAATTTTTTTAAAAAAATTAAATAGCATGCCATTAGGAAACTGTGTAGAAACAGAAGGCTTCAAGGCTGAGAAAGCAAGAAGAGGAACAGGCATCTTTATTAATTCCATACACTTTCCAGTTGTACCTTCAGGTTTTGCCTGTATTCCTCTTAACCTATTGATAGTTAGTTATTTAATTCTCACAACAACCTGTGAGGCTGAGAGGTGGTGACTGGCCCAAAGTCACCCAGCGAGCTTCATTACCTAGTAGGGATTTGAACCCTGGTCTTCCAGGTCCTAGGCCAACACTCTAACCACTACGCCACACTAGCTGGTGGCAACAAAAGCCTCAAATGTAAAGGCCAGCTGAGAGTTGGTCTCCCTTTTATATAGCACTGAAACCCAAAATCTGAGTCTGAAGGGTGCAGAGCAAACACCACTAGTTCACTCCTTGCTTTGACCCGCTCGCTCCTAAGGGGAACGCGGCAGCATGGTAAGAACACTTCCTCTTGCAAGCTCAATCAAGGCACAGTGTCTTCGATGGGGGCGGCATGGCAACTGGCAGAGGGAATAAGGTGGGATGGGTTGGAATGTAAGAAGAGGGACTTCTTTCCTGGCATTGCCCCAGTGAGTTGGTACTTCATAGCGCTCCCAAATGATTCCATTGCACTTTGCGGCTAAGAACATCTGGTCCGCTTGGCACCTCTGCTTTGGTAAAAATAGCAGACCATCTTGTGCATGGGCAGGGTGCCATCCGAACAGATGGGCATGAGCAATGGCAGCCAAGAGGCCTTGTATCGGCATAAAAATGCATTTGCTGAGGGCAGGATTCGCAGCCAGAAATGTCAGAATACCTGAGCTTCCTGTCACAAGGCGGGCGGGGAGCGAGGAAAGGGAGGCTGTGTCTCCGAGCAGGATTAGCTCTGTAAAGGGGACAATCTCATTTCTGCAGCTCTGTACGACACAGCTGCGGTCACGTAGAATTCGATTAGGTGCCTGCCGTGGAGGCTGTTAGTTACCTGCAGAATCTCTTGTTTCAATAAAGGGCTGAAACAAAGTTTGATGTTGGAAGACACACACGCCCGCACACACAAAGCGAGGCTTGGCGATTTTTTGGAGTTCACTCCACAATGCAAACAAGATGACTCTGCCCTTATCAGCGGATCCACAGGTAGTTGAGTTTCACGGCTGTCACTTCCGTGGCAAGAAAGAACCCCAGCTGAACTTTTCATCTTTCCAAACAACAGAACACAAGAGGGCCAGCTGTGTACAGTACGGCTCAAAAGAATAATTCTCTGAAGTATCCGTCCCTCTTGAATGCAAAGGAAGAGACGATGCAGGCATCTGCAAGCAAGTGCCGAGTTGAGGTAGGAGGACGGGGACACTTCCTCTTTGTGATTTCTTGTACTAGCAGAGCGCCTGAAAGCTCAACTCATGTACTTCCTGGTATGGCAAGCCAGGGCCCCCAGAACACTTGATGACAGAGCCAGCCCTACTCTTAGGCAGAGTGGGGACAGCGTGGGGTATTGATGAATTGGAAGAGTAAATATATGATCCCATTTAAATCAATGAATTGATGACATGATAACACTTGCAACCTATGAATGGACCGCTTATCGATGTAGACTTTGTTTAGAGAAATATATTGAAATTTGGAATGAATGTACAGTGGTACCTCGGTTTAAGAACAGTCCGGTTTAAGAACAATTTGGTTTACAAACTCTGCAAAACCAGAAATAGTGTCTTGGTTTGAGAACTTTACCTCGGTCTAAGAATGGAAGCCGAACGGTGGAAGGGCACCAGCGGCGGGAGGCCTCATTAGGGAAAGCACACCACAGTTTAAGAATGGTTTTGGTTTAAGAACGGACTTCCGGAACGGATTAAGTTTGTAAACCAAGGTACCACGGTAGTAGGTTGGTTACTAATAATCCTATATGCATTGGGACAATGATTCTATGAAGGCTGCCAGCCGCACAGGCCTGAGTTTCACATCCCAGGTGGGCTGTGGTTTCTCCCCAGCCTGGGGTAAGCCTTGGGAGCAATGGCCATCCTACGAGAGGGGCAGCCTTGTTTTCCTCCTGCGCAGCCCTTGAGTGCCAGCAGCCAGGCACCCTTCATCATTATCTGAGGAGAGAATGCCAGCACAGAGAGCCAATAAAAAGAGCCGGTTATCCCAGGCCACGTACCCTGCTGAGAACAGTGTGCTATTGACTACCCGTTCCTTGTCTACACCAGCTGTAATGAGCTCTCTCTGACAAGTGATTGACTCGCCCATTATAGTCATCGGTAGCTGCAGAAACAAACACACTTCATATAAAAACTCAGCATTGTTGTCTGGAGGGTATTCCCTGTGGGAAAATTTCTACCATCATTTGGAGTGGCACTGAGTACTATAGTATTTACTATTCAATAATGTTAGGTGGAGCACTCGCTCACTGTTTGCCAGAAATCAGCCCAAAGACGGTAATTCCTCTTTGCAACATCCTTGCTTTGCTTCTTTTATTTATTTATTTTTAAGGGTAACGGCGGGGTGCAAAACCCCGACAAGCCTTAATGTAAGTCAACAGGGGAGTTGGTGGAGGCAGCACTCTTGTTTTATGTTCATATATTTATTAAGAAACTCACAGGCATTCCAGCCCCAGTTGCCTTCAAAGGGGAATAAATTAAACTTTATGTTCAGCAGAAGCAGGCAATGCAATCTGTGGTGCCGCTCAACAAGAAGAGTTGGCTGGGGAATTGCAACGAAACCTACAAAATTGATATTTTAGGATGAAGGTTACCAAGTTTTGAACTCTGGGAAGGACCACGGCTCAGTAGAAGAGCACATTTATTTGTGTGTTAAAGGTTCCAGGCTCAGTTCCCCCACTGGGTCTGAAAACCTGGAAAGCTGCTGTCCATCAGTGTAGACAGTAATGATCAATGATTTGACTCGGTATAAGGCAGTTTCCTATGTTCTTATGAAATAGAACTTTGTTTAAGGTCCAGCACTTGAAATGGGAGCCATTTGCAGCGTGTGTTTCTTCACAGAATCAAAGAATTGTAGGGTTGGAAGGGACCCCAAGGGTCATCTAGTCCAGCCCCCTGCAATGTAGGAATCACAGTTAAATAATCCCTGATAGCTATCCAACTGCTGTTTGAAAGCTTCCAAGGAAAGTCCAGCATTTTCCAAGGAAGTCTGTTCCACTGTCAAACAGCTCTTACTGTCAAAAAGTTTTTCCTATTGTTTAGTTGGAATCTCCTTTCTTGCAATTGGGATCCATTGGTCCTACTATCTATAGCAGCAAAAAATGATCTTGCTCCATCTTCCATGTGAAAGCCCTTCAAATATTTTAAGATGGCTATTATATCACCTCTCAGCCTTCTCTTCTCCAGACTCAACTCCTTCAACCATTCCTCATAATGCTTGGTTTCCAGACCTTTTATCTCCACACATTCCGGCTTGTCAATATCCTCTTAAACTGCAGCTCCCAGAACTGGACACAATATTCCAGGCACACTGACCAAGGCACACTAGAGCGGTACTAGGACTTCCCTTAACTGGAACACGATATGTCTGTCAACGCAGCCCAGAATTGCATGAACTTTTTTTTGTGGCTGCATCTCACTGTTTGACAAAATACTCACTGCAGAGCCACACCATACATATAAACGGCATCCATTGCACAATTAAAAGTCATGATTCCTCCCCCCCAAATCCCTGCCACTGGTTTAGTTAGGGTTGCTATATTTCAAAAAGTGAAAATCCAGACCAACTTTTTGGCAAAGTTGTAGAGGGGTTTTTTTGTTTTGTTTTGTTTGCAAAATTTGATGTTTTTGAGCTATTTTAGAGGGAAATCGGCAAAAACCAACACTGCCGACATTAGTTGCCAGATGTCCAGATTTTCCCAGACATTTAGCCAGTTTCCCCATGGACACTGCTTTTTGACTGCATGATTCCTAACGTAACTACACTTCCCAGCTCAATTTGCTTAACAAACTACAGTACCAAGATTCTTTGGGGAAAGGCATGTGCTTAGAATATGCATTGGATGTTCTTTAAAAATATGGTGTGGATCTGCCTTGTGTCTCAAGCCCAGACCTGACACACTGTTTGGTCTGACCCATTATTTTAGGGCCAGTTAAGACATTGTGTGATTTGCAGCAACTTGGCTTAACACCGGGAGGGAAGAATACATTTCCAGGCAGGCAGGCCTGCTCGCCTGCTCTCTGCACCACCCTATGCATTCCCAATTCTTGCAACGAAAATAAAGTGCAGCCCCAAAACAGGACCCGAGCACAACAGCACTTTCTCCTCCTGTGGTTTCCAGCAACTGGTATTCAGAATCATTACAGCCTCTGACTGTGGCTGGTAGCCACTCATAGTAGCCTTATGCTCTGTGTTAAGCTAATGGGCACAGATGCTAATTCTGCAACAGGTCACCATAGAGAATCCCTGCAGCTCAGGTTGCTTCACTTTCAGACAACTTTTCACTGCTCTATCTGAATTCAAAATCCAGAAGCTGCTTATTTCTCTCTCTCCTGTAGAGCAGGTAAATTGCCCTTTTAGTGGGGGGAATCCAGAGTCATTGAGAACCATTAGCTTTCTTTGTAAAGCCTCTGACTACCCATCAGGCAACACTTCAGAGAAATCATCACGATAGACCTATTCACAGAAATCAAGATACCCAAACTCATAGTACAGTATACCTCTATTTTCTTCGTTTCTTCTATTTTCTTAGGTTGCTGGTGATGCAGCCTAAGGCTGTGACCAACCTAAGTTTGTTTGAAGACTAATGATCTAAAGCAGTGGCTCCACAACTCCCCCGCCATGGACCACTTGAAAATTTAAAAAAGGATCTCGGTGGACCATTCAATGCCTTTTCTGTCTGCTGCAGATCCCATAGTGTAATGCAATAAAACACAGCATAAGAAATGAAAGAAACAACAATTAAAAATCAATATGAATGTCAAACGCAATGGGTCTCCCGTTTTTAACCACAAATCCACAGAATTGTCACGGATGGATGGAGCTTGCAGACCACCATTTGGGAACCTCCTGATTTAAAGCATTAACAACCGCTTCACGTTTTCTCTCTTTGGTCTTTTGCCTGGTCCAAGGAAATAGCAGCACCGTGCAATGGATTCATCATCGCTAGATGGACTTGCTCAAGCAAGCGCAGGAAAGTGTGGAGAGATCTACGGCACCTTCCAGAAACAGCTGGCATAGACCTTGCCTCGAAACCCTGGTGTGCTGCCACAGGAACACGGAATCTACAACTGACATTCCTGCGTTTCTTTGAGTGGAACCAAAGTCACTTCATTCATGACAGAAAACTCCAAGGGAATAGTCCCTGAGACCAA